CCATTAAAAGTTGTTCATGTTGCTTGTTTGGTCTCTTTCAGGTATAGGAGCACTCTGAAGACAGCTGTTTATTTGAATAGGAATTTTTAAGCTGTACACTGGTATATTATTTTTCATCAAGAAAGTAGTGATATGTTGTCATGTTACACAAATGTTTACAGTTTGAAACTGTGTGCACTTGTTATTAGTTTTTTTTCAAGAGGTTCAGCTGCAGATCATAAGTAACTGATAACCTTTCCCATTTGTGGCCAAGGCAGAATTTGCCTTTCCAGTATTGATACAATGTCAAGCAGACTAGTGAAATAAATAAATAACAATGTCAATTAGTGGCTTATTAATTTATCCAGTACCAAATTATCTTATCAAAATTATAAGAATTGTATTAAAGACAGTAAGGAGAACTACTAATAAGATAATAAATGAGTGGTTATAGAAAAAAAGAGAGACTATCTTAAGTTTATAGATTTGGTAGTGGACAGTCATTATAGTCTCACAAAGACGAAGTGTTCACCTAGCATAGCAGTCTTGAAAAATGTAATTTGAATAAATTTTTAAGATAAAGTTGTTTTTAAGAAGGTTTCCAAGGGCTCCAAGCTTAACTCTTTTCAGAGTCACCATTTGGAGACATAAACTGTTAAAGAAGTGGTTGCTAGAAATAAATTTTTTGTCACCAACCAAATAAATTAAAATGGAAAAAACATCTTGTGCGTGCAGTGTTACATTATATTTTATGCAAGTATCTATTTATCTCACTTAAACTTTACATTATAAATGCCAAATGATAATCTTTGAATATTGTAATTAATAAATAATTACAGCTTGGTACTTAGCAGCCAAGTACAAGATGCAGAATTGGTAGCTTTATCTGTACCATCAGAGTGTGTATTGCCTTTGCTCTAAGATGAAATTCTGTGTAGTAACCAGAGGTTTATGTATGCACTGATGTATTGAAAGTAATGAAGCATTTTTCAATTAATTAAATCCCTAACCAAGGTAAATCATGCACTACACACAGTCTCACATGCAAGCTTCCTGTGATCACTTGAGATCTTAAAATTTCAATGTCACTCAAATAAGGTCTTAATAGGTACAAAGCTTTGATGCCCATGAGTGACTAGCATCTAATTTCCTCTTGCAGTATCATCCCTGAATCACATGTCAAGGTCATGAGAATAAATGAAATGATCAGAAACCAAAGAAGTTCTTGATTGTGAAACAAATTCTCCTTGTCAGCCCCTCAGGAAATAGTATGTAGAGTAAACATACTGATTTTAGAGTGTTAAAGGTTCACCTCGTATCAGCCCTTGTCGCTTTTTTCGCTGACAAAAACTTAACGCTTCCTTCCGAAAGCATCACTTCCCGACCGTACTTCGTATAGTAGAGTTTCCATGCCGACCACTGTTGTGGCTTCACAGTTGGTAGGATTCCAAAAGGCGTTGCATGGAATTATTGTCAACCGGCGAAATCAAGTCGCGCCGCAATTGCGCGATGAATTTAATTGAAAATGAGTTGAAATCGAATTCCTCTGCTCCATGTAAATCAACGGTAATCTAGAAAGTGAAATTTCAGTTTATTGTTAACTGTGGGTAAAACCAAATGTGGCACGCACTCCCCTGCACTACAGGGCGGTAGGAACATCGCGTGACAGCTTGTGTTTTAAGAGGGAGGTTGAATTGTGGAGGAAAATCATAGAAGTCGTGAGTTTCTTTTAAGTTAAGGTCGGAGAAAACTTAAACTCACCTCGACTGATGAGGCTTTTTCTCGCTTGGATGAAATCCTGCATCCTGTGTCGTCATAGGGGGTGGGTTTGGGTGACATATGGCCTGTATCGCATTGAGAATGCGCTGTCAAACCTTCACTATCTGTCTCTTGAATGTCAACATGGCGGATCAGAGAGGGGACGGTTTTATACAGTTTACCCCAGACTATATCACCAAGACTTGGTTAGGCCGGCTAAAATGTGCAGAGGTGATATTTTCTCTTCTCGCTGGTGCGTGTGGAGCAGGCGTTTTATCGTGGATAGGTTGCAATTGTAGTAGTAAAGTAAGTTTCTCCAACTTCATCGCATGGACTGCTTTCGTCAACGCGTTAATCGACATGATTATACATCTTGCTGGTTTGTGGGAAAGGCTTGTTTGGTGGTTCCGCCATCCTGGTTTGTACCTAATCTTGTGTGGACTGGCTGTTGTGGGTTTTTTGATCGGAGCGTCCCTCGCCGCTTCTTGTGCAACACAAACCTGTGTAAGCAATCCTGGCACAGCGGGAGCAGCTGCTTTTTTCGGTTTCGCCTGCTTGGCTTTGTTCGCTGCGGAGTGCTGCATACACTTTCAGAAGTACAGGAGTATGCAGCAAGAAGCACAGCATCAATCTTCAAGCGGAGGCAAAGCTCCAGATTTTGAAGAGCCACCACCACCTTACTCTGAGGCACCTGGAGTTATTTGAGTGATCGAGTGCTGTTTACGTGGACATTTCCGCTAAGATCATTATGCACATTTGACATTTAGCTTAGACATTTAGTAAGAAAGAGCAATGGAGAAGACATATCTTAGGACTCAAGATAGACTTACATAACTAACATCAACTTGACATCAATTTTCATCAATCTATGAACAGCTTCGCCATTTTTGTAAACCTCGAGCTCCCTTTAGATCTTACTTTAGCTGCTGGCGTGATCGATTTTTCCTGTATTGATTTATTTCTATTTCTCTTTTCTTGTTATGGTGAGGAAAATTTCTGTCTCGGAAACAATCAATCAATGATCTATCCATTCGTGCAGTGCTGTTATGAAGAGTATAAATTCAATATATAGTAGTGTTACATGTAATACCAATTTTTACGACAAATAAATAAAATGTAGAGAGTGTGATTAAATCTGCTCTCTTACAAAACTTTAATTGGAATTCTGAAATTGTGCTGGAATTTTCTGACAAGAATTTTTATTCACCAATTTAAAGATGCACATCCTTAAGCACAAAAAATTCCAGGTGAAATTGAACAAGAACCTAAGTTGGGGAAGAAGGGGGGAATTTTCCTAAGCAACTGTGGTGCTGCATTAGTGGAGGTATTGAAAGACAAACCAGTCTTTTCAACTGAGTTGTTATTGTAAATTGGTCACCGTAAAGAGTTTTTTGCAGGCATTTCAAGCATTAGCCCTTAATCAGAGCTCTGAAATTATCCTGCAAAGTCTGGTAAGTTTTCTTGTGAAGACAAGCAGAAAGATAGGTGTAAGGTAAGGTTTACAAAGCAATTGCTTAGGAATATACATCTTTGTTCCACTCCCCAAATGAAAAAGATGATTAACCCTTCCAATTCCCATGAGTGACTAAGGCAGAATTTCTCCTTACAATATCAAGCAGACAGTCAAGTGATGACAACAACAGAAAAATATCAAGGGGGATTATTAGTTGATCCAATAACAAATTCTCTGAACTAACATTATAAGACTTGTATGACATGCATTAAAGAGAATTACTTATGAGATCTTAAGAAGGAAAGGGTATAAAGAGGGAAAAATGCTTTACTATTCAGGGCCAATTTCTCTGTGGGCTGGATGTAGGATTGGAATGTTCAACAATTGAGTGTTGATAATATCTTGCATCTGAAAAAAGAGAGCAAGTGAGAGATATCAACCTGAGAAAGTAAATTCCTGTTCAGAAGTGGACATGCGACGATCTGTGTATTATTAATATATTGATTGCATATTTTAATTAAAGAAAATGTTGACACATTGTGAGGACACTGAATGCAGAGATCTCCTGCTTGAAAACTCAGCTTGCAGAAAAGCTTTTTCAACCTCTGAAATGAAGAATTAAGAAAACCAGTTCTCATAACAAGTAATGTTTTCTATTAAAAAAGTTGAACTCAATCTTGGTGATATTTGTAGTAAAACCCTTTCATGAAATGTGAAACTGTCATGTAGATATACCTTTTACCATAACAACACTGATAATATCACCAGTAAAAAAATAATTTTACTGCTCATGATGAGGAAATCATGGTCTTGCAACAGGGAATTGTGGCATTTCATCAACATCTGTTAAAAAAAAAATCATACAATTATTATTACAATATAATTACTATTGTGATATTAAGGAAGTTTGACTACCTCTAGATAAGTCTCCCATTGGACAAAAACATGCTGATTTTTGCTGACACACTCCTCTCCATCTATTGCAAGTCTGGTAAAGGCTTTGGTATTTTGCTGTGCCAGTATTTATTTATACTCCTGAGTAGAGAGAGACACAATGAGGACTGCTAGAGCCTAGCACACTAACAACTCAACCACAGAACCCCCTTAAAAAAAAAGAAAACTACAAAAGCTTGTAGTAATCAAGATCAGATTAAGCCCTCTAATGGAATGGTCATGGAATCCCCCAGTATTCTAAATTTTGAGTGTTTTATACCCCATTCACAACAAAACTTTAACATGTTTTAGAGATGTTTTGTTATTAACGGGAGAGTTTGAAATTCTTTTCTTTATAGAAACTGCTTCAACCGATCTTTGTCGACTTCAAATTTAGCACACTGAAACTTCAAGTTAGTGATTTCTTGAAACCTATAGAAAATTCAGTTCTTCAATTTTCTGTTTCCAAGTTTCATTCAGTTAAACCCGGTGTAACAGAACAATTATTTTGCTGGTGTGGATGGGGTTTATATTATTTCTGATGGAATTTTCCTTGCAATTGTTGAGCTTGGTTATAAGAAATGTTGAATATTAGGGCAATCCAGATTGTGAAACCACCTATGAACGTTGACTGAAGGCGTAAGACTTCCCTGTTGCACTATACATCACAAACATCGCGTGACAGCATTATTGATCGATGGGTGAAGATCATTCAAGTCTGTAATTTTTATTTAAGCTTAACTGGAAAAAACCCACTCCTGTTCACTCGCTGTTATATTCTTGTCTTTATGGTTGAATTATCATGATAATGAAAATCTGAAATAAGTCATGCCCAAAGTGTGGGCTGCCTGTGTTGCAGGATCTTGCCCATAACAACTTCCGTTAAGAGTAACATGGCGGAACAACAAGGGGATATTTTTTTTGAGTTTTCGCCAGACTTCATCACCAAGACATGGTTAGGCAGGCTAAAATGCGTAGAGTTGTTGTTTACGCTTTTGGCTGGTGCCTGTGGCTCATCAGTTAGTTCGTGGATTTACATTAATGGCAGCGGGTATGGATGCGGTTGTGTTGGAAAACTTACCTTCTTCGATTTCGTCGCATGGACCGCGTTCGTAAACGCTCTCATCGACATAATTCTCCATCTGATTGGTTTTTGGGAAAAGCTACTGTGGTTTTTCCGCCATCCTGTCCTATTCCTAGTTCTTTGTGGGCTGGCTGTTTTGGGTTTCTTAATTGGCTCATCGCTGACAGCTTCGTGTGCAAAACATATTTGTGTTACAAGTCCAAGCACCGCAGGTGCAGCCACCTTTTTCGGTTTCGTCTGCTTGGCTCTGTTCGCTGTGGAGTTCTTCATGCACTTTCAAATGTACAGGGATATGAAACGAGAGACACCGCATCCTTCTTCAGCTGCAGGCATGGCACCAGATTACATAGAACCACCCCCAGCTAACCCATAAAACTACCAGCGGTGTTGTTCAGTTGAGTGGTTGAGACTTCCTATTTGTTCACAACCAGTACTAGTTCTTCTGTTTGCAGTTTTATATCATTGTTTTATTCAAGGCTGAAAATTACGCAAGTTTTAGAGTGAGATAGATTGGTCAGGCCTCGAGAAAGACTTCAACTCTAACGAGCAACGTACTCTGCGACAAGTTCTGTCTGCGTCCTTAAATACAGCCTTGCACTCAATTAGATTCCTAACTCCCTGTACTAATATTATATAACCTGTTTTGGGATCGATATTTTTACATATGCTTATGGACTCACGTATCTTTTTAAGGTAAGCTGAAACTGCTGTTTTAGAGATAATCGATCGACGATTTAATTAATTGAACTGCGATTTACAACCTACCAACACCCTCTTTTATCAAGAGAAAGCAAATTAGGGTGTGTCTGATCTGCTATGTACTTAACTAATTAAACCACTTAACCTTTTAACTCCCAGATCAAATTTGTTATTTATCCTTACAGTCCACCATACAATTCTTAGAATGTTAGTTCAGGGAATTTAGTATTGGGTCAACTAATTATCCCCCAAATTGATATTTGTCTTTATTCTCATCACTTATCTGGTTGATATTGCATTGATATAGAAGGGAAAAATTCTGTCTTGATCACTCATGGGAGTTAAAGGGTTTAATGGCTGTTGATATCTGGCAGCCTTTAAACTTTAATTACAAAATGACTTGAGAAACTCCATAATTAAGAGGGAAGGTTTTGGACCTGTGGCGTTTTTCTAAAGGTATTGATCTCACAGAATTTTCAAATTTGTGGGGAGGACGAAGGTTTATGGCCAGGCTGATAAACCCTTAAACTCTCAGCTTCTGATTCTCCCTTCTCCCTGCCACATATTACTTTGTAAACTATTAAAGAGAATTTGTTGTTATAAGGGTAGTATGCTCTTGCTGAAGAGTCTGTATTTTCTGGAGATGTAATCAGAGTTCTTAAGTTAATTTGCTGGGGTGAGACACCTCAGGCCTCACTTACCTGACTGGGAGTGGGGTATGGGAGCATGCTCCCCTCCCCCAAAGATTTGTGAGAATTTCTACTGTGGGTAATTGTTCTAAAGCAAACACGAGAGGAAAAGGAGTAAATTATGTTCAGAGGGAAAGGAACCCTTTAAGTAATGGGCTCCTGAGAGGGATAATTAATTTTATCGGCACTAACTAATTAAAGCTGTGGTTTACTATGTCAAAATTAACAGTTTAAATCAGAAACCCTGATTGTATGAGAAATAATGACTTCAGTGTGAAAGCCTAACTTTGAATTGGTTTGTGTGAGTCTCATGTTCAATGTATGAGACTTGAGAGCTCTCTGTAATGAGCAGGACTGTCAGTTGAAGTCAGATGTAAATAACTTCTTGGAATTAAATTAAAAGATGGAGTATATCTAATAAAGTTTTTTCAGGAGCCCAAAATTCTGTCTGCCTTTCATTTTTACTTACATGATATTCATAAATTTCAGAAATTTGTACCCTTACAAGTCAAAATAAATGTCTAAGGAATATTCTGTCTACAGTTCTGACTGATGTATGTCAATAGTTACAATACCTTGACAAAGTATTGTAACCATCAAACATCAGGTGAATGATAGTAAAGGATTATGTAAAATTAATGTATTGCTTCTGTCAGCAAAGTGCATATAGTAAACAGATGTATGGAGAGCCACCAAACAGTTTCAGCATGAATTAAGCTGACCACTTGCACAAAATTGTTTAGTGAGATTGAAATACCACTGTGTTGGATGTAAAAGTTACAAATTTGTCATTAAGACTCTCTTTCAAGTGTTATAGGCCTTTGATAGATGGTGGGCATTTAAGTTTATTGCTACAAAAATTTCCATACCCAGGAGCCCATCACCCGGCCTATTGCCATCTCTCCATGTCCAACCCTACCCTCTGCAACATTTCATCGGTTTCAGATCCCGCGCGGTAGGTGCCAAACTACCCATAAATCCAAGCTCATAGGAAAAATCCAAAATGTCGGCGTTCTTCTATACATATCATCGAAAGCTCCACTGTTTAAATGTAGATGACTACGTGGTGGAAAATGGAAAACAGCTGAAAAAGATCGCATCGGATCTTTGTGGGGTAAGTTTTGATACAAAGGCAGGGATAGCTTTATCTTATGAAAGCATAACGTGTTCGTGGTGGAAGTTTAAGAATAACGATTAACATACCCACGTAAGGTTCTACTGCGAAAACGAATTTTTCCACGGATCGAACATGGGTTGGACAAGCGATTTTTAAATCACATATAGATTGGCCTTAATAGATACTGATATTTACTGTCAGGGTATACCAGAACAAGACTTGTCCGTGATCCATAATGGCCATCTTGTCACTGATGACAGAGAACTGCTACTTCAAGATGGAGACGTGTGCTATGCTAGTCTGCTTCTACCGGGTGGAAAGGGAGGGTTTGGTTCCATGTTACGCGCCATCGGAGCACAGATTGAGAAGACCACAAATAGAGAAGCATGCCGAGATCTGAGTGGAAGACGAATGAGAGACATAAATGACGAAAAAAAGTAAGTGGAAATTTTCTGACAGACAAAGCTTGATCATGTCCATCCTTTTATCTCCTATATGACTGACTCACTCAGTTATAAAATTCTAGTATGTGTTTAGCACGAGTTTCCATAACTTTGTCCATTAGTGGCTGCCAATGGTTGAATGTGTTCTGTGCCTGAAAAGAGACGGTAAGGTGAAAGCCAAACACGATAACCAGCTCATATGCTAAACAGACTGTGGTGAGAGTTCTTATAGATAGCAATAGACTGCTGGAAACCTGCTTTTATGGAAACCCCATTGTGTTAAGCCAAGAAAGGCAGAAGGGAAGGGAGCAGTGAGTGGAGGTGGAAGAAGTTCACTGTCATATTGACTAAACTGGTGTGTACTGTGTGATATGGTATGGTTTTTATGATCCTCAGTCTGAGACATGAAGATTTACCACTAAGTGTCTTGAAGAAGGGATCTCTCTGTGCTAGAAGCTTCTAATATCTAAGTATCAATACTCTGGATTGTCTGTGATTAATTTTTATTTTGATTTTAGCTCTAAGAAGTTGGTGCTGATTCAACTGGTATCCAGCTTTTGATATTTGACTTTCTTCTCATCACTGTTATACTTGATAAAATAATTATATTGGTCACTCTTAGGAGTGAAAGTGGTGGGGTGTAGTTCAATTAACATAATTAACATAATTTTGATGAACTTTTAATCTCTTGTTATCTTCAAGGATTGCTGAATGGGTTTCTAAACAAGCTGAAAGAGAGCGAGAGAAGGAACAGAAGAAACAGGAGAGGTTGGCAAGAAGAAGATCAATGCCAAAACACATGTTTGATGATAAGACATACACACAGAATATTCAGCAAAATTCAGAGAGAATAGAAGCTGCACTGCATCAAGGTGAGGTACTTGCCTGAAATTTTCAGGAACCATCAAGAAAATGCTGTTTCAAGATGTACCTATACTTTAAAAGCCAAACTTTTTTTTTTTTATTACCTATTTCTCTTTATTTTGGATCCGTTCCAGTTGTGTCCATCCTCCCATTTTGTTCCATCTCTTTTTCTACTCCCTGTAGAGCTTCCCTTCCACTTTAAACTGAATGTTTTCTGGTTTTTTTTTTTTATCACTCATGTCTTTCACTATTTTTCTTGAATTCTATGTTGACATCCATACTTAAATTGATAAATTTAGAAAATTAAAATCTTTTTACTTTCATTCATTGTTGTTTTTTTTTTTCACATGTAATTTTATTCCAGTTGTAATATGTAACACCTAATTGGCTCATCTATTACTTATCAAACTGTTTTTCATTGTTTCAGTATATGCATGCTGTCCTACTCATTTCCTCTGTTCAGTCAAACTTGTTATTAAAGAATTTATTTTGATGTTTGTTTCTCTCCGGCCTCAATTAGCTTCACTATTTTGCGGGAAGCGATTGTGAGATATGTATTTTAATTGCTAAAATAAATAAATTTTTGTTTGTTTATTTCAGGGTTTAAAGCAGCTGGCAGTTCAAGATCATCAGGTGCTTCAAGCACTTCAGAGAAGGCAGCTGGAAAAAGAGTTCATCCAGGGGATCCTACAATTTCAGGAGGAGGGAAAAAAAGTAGATTGTGGTAAACAGTCCCTCCTTATGCTCTCCGAGGTTTAAATTTTTGTCCTTTCCATCGAAATCCAAGTGATTACATGAAGGAGTTCAGAGGAAAAGAGGAGTCTATTAATGTTTTGTGAACTGTTTAATATGCAGTTGACCTGAAATTTACTAAAAACCACTGTTGTCTGTCTGTCTGTATAAGAGCTTTGTTACCCTGGAATCAGAAAAGATGTTTCCAAAAGCATTTTTTCTTGTTTTTAACATGAACATGCTACATTATGTTCAAGTTTCGTGATTTGAATAAAAAAGTTTCTTTTGGTTTAAGAAGAAAATTGCCTTTTAGAACTACTCTTTGACAGTTTTTCACAAGGTATACTGGTATGTATTTCTTAGTAAGGGCATCAAGGTTTGGTTAGGCAAAAAATAATTTCAGTTTGCTTTCAGGTTGGGAATGGAAGACCTGTCAGACAGTGGTGATGATGAAGAAGGGATGGCTCCTGTCAGAAGCAACGATAATGAAGATCCAAGCAGGCACACATGCACTTCAACTGGTGTGTCTTGTAGCAGCACTCAAGCAGAGGTTGCAGTCCCTGAAGAGGCTTCAGACAACAGACATTGTGTAGACACAGATTGTAAGATAGCAAAGCCACCTGCACAGCCATCAGAAACAAATGCTGAGTCACAGAAAGAAGACACAAAGACAGAGCATATTAGAGCAGCTGTCGCTGATACAAAAGATCAGAGAGAAGATTTTCAGGAAAAAGATGGAATGACAGAAACAGTTACCAGAGGAGAAGAAGACAATAAAGCTACTGAAGAAGAGACCATTAGAAAGGTTGGGATTTTAAATATTAAATCAAGGTTATCCAATTGTCTGTACTTAAATATGACATCCAAATTTTCACACCAGTTTCTAATAAGGAGTTTATTTTACAGAAAATTTGGGATAAAAGCTCAGGGCCTGCTACCTTAGAGTGGTGTTCACTCAAAGCAGGCTGTTCACTAAATAATTGTGGTATAAAATTTAAGTTATTAATTTGTGATTGGCATCCTGTTCAAAGTTACTCTTCTGAGTAGTGAATATTTGAATCACCCTGATATTTATACTGATTTATTTATTACACTAAACTCACCAATTGATTTTATTATTACAAGCTCAGCTATGCTAGGAGGGCAGAAGAAGCAAACCCTCTCTTCTGGTTGGTTACTGAAGTCCATCTTGCCACTCAAGATTTCCCAATTTGAACACCCCCTCCCCTCCCTCCTTCATAAAAAATTGCTCATACATTAACCCTCTACACCCTAACATCAATATTCATATTTTCCACTCTGTTCTCTATACATTTACTAAGGTGCTGACAAGGAGAATTTGTCTAACAATCAAGAGTTTCTAGAGTTGGTGATCATTTCCTTTATTCTCATGACATTAATGCTAGATTCAGAGGTGATAATGTAAGGAGAATTTAGATGCTAGTTATTCTTAGGGATTGAAGGGTTAAGTAATTGAAGTAAGTTTCATATTTTGTTTTTTCTTTCTAGGTTGAGTTTTGCCTTGATAGCTACTCATCAGCAGAGGAGCTTGAATCCCTAGGATTGGAACATCTGAAGGAGGAACTAATGTCAAGGGGGCTCAAGTGTGGAGGGACATTACAGCAGAGGGCTCAAAGGCTGTTTGCTACAAAAGGAGTCCCCATGGATCAACTGGATCCCTCTTTTTTTGCCAAGTCAACAGGCAGCAAAAAGTCTAATGGGAAAAAGTAACATTAAAAGAGAACTGCACCTGGAATTCTGTTCATAGTTGTAATCTTGTCAAGTTCTTAGCATGGTATTTTGTTTATCTTGCAGTTGCAAGGCAAATGTATAAAGGGTTTAAAAGGTTTAACAGCCATGAAGAAGTTACTTTATGTTTTACAACAGAACTAATTTATTTCAAAATGTATTTAACATTTACAATACTTCAGTGTTTTCCTAATAATATTATGCGTTTGTTACTTGAATTTTACATTGTATTTTCATTGCTATTACATTAAAAAATTAATGATGCTGTCACTTTTAAGTGCCTTAAACAAACCATTTAAGGAGGCATGTAAAACCCCAAATAAACATGACAAAACAAACACAATGTCATGGAGAATGAAAGGTTATAGGGCAGGTACTGTTACTGTAGTTGCTTTAGCATCTGCTTCTTAGCTTTGAGCTAAGGGGTAGTCAGAGGTACAGCTAATATTTCCTTCATTTCCTAACAAAAGAGAGGCTATTCTCATGGTAGCAACTTTCTGGGGATAATCACTCTTGAGAAGTCACTATTTGCAAGATTCCATTTTATTCTTTAACTCCTTGACATGATTAACATGTAACTTCCCCTTGGATTTTCATTACACTAATCCTTCAGACCGGGAATAAGAACAAATAAGGTTATTGGGTAGAGGACAATGTCTCATTCTATTATGAAATTCCTTGGTCTTTCAAGCAAGGGATTGAATGACAGTTAGAATGGACAGTTACTAATTTAATCTTGGGAGTTGAAGGGTGACAGCATTTTTCTGATGCTGCACAAAAATTAAGAATCTACAATTATTTTTTTTCATTTCAATTCACTTTTATTTGGGAAATATCTCAAGTTCAAGGTCACTTTCATAAGCTCATTTAACTCTTGATTATGTATAAAAATGTATTAAATGTATAAATTTTGAGCAATTTGTAAATTTTTTGCCTGTCATGTCTATTGTGGAGACCTCGCTACAACAAAGTATCAACTGGAAAACTTGAAGGGTTGATGTGTAACCAATTGTTTTCTTGCATAAAAAGGACTTTCACAGGTTTCTTTTTGTTTACCATCACATCTAGAAGAATGCAGTCTGGTGGTTTTTCTGTGTTTATGGAATACGCCAGTTTCCGCTTCTGTTTGGGTTTAGTCAATTTAACATCAGTTGTACAGTCCTTTGTAAGAAAATAGAAAGAATACAATATTCATTGAAAAGGCCTTTAGGCACACAAAGGAGATGTTAACCCTTCAACTTCCATAAAAGACCAAGACAGAATTGTACCTTAAAATATCAATACAATATCAAGCAGACAAGTAATGAGAATAAAGAAAAATATTAGTTAATCCAATACCAAATTCTCTGAACTAACATCAAAAGAATTGTATGACAGACAGTAAGGAGAATTGTTATTGAGATCTGGGAGTGGAAGGGCTCTTAATTAGAGTATTAGTTCAAGATTTCTGTGGAGTAACAGTAGATGAAGGTAAAGCCAGAATTATCTATCATGCCCTGAAACAGAGAGCAAATATTAACCTGATTGTTATAGTGTAAATCTAAAAGTTATCCAAATAGAACTACAAGAGAGACTTGTGTTTTTACAACCACAATGTGATAGGCTCCTAATTTGACCCATTACCTATCACAGGGCACATAGCTAGTAGCCCAGCTGATCAGATTATAGTATTTGTAAGAGGATGCTAGCAAATTTATACTAATATGAAACCTAGCATTGTGAACAAGGTTACTAAGATCAAAGAAAACAAGACCCAAGGTGTGCTCTAGCACAAATGATGAGTGCTCTAGATACCCACTGTTTTGGAGCCAACCTGTGGGGTTAAGTCAGGGTCACTTGCTTCATGTGTATAGAGTTCTGAATTTACAGTCTGAAAGTAACAAAAATGTGGTTAATACTAAAATATTTGTTTTTTCTTTTGTAATTGATTGAATTAAAAATAAAAAAAACAACATGAACAAACAAACAAACATTTGCTTCTTGCTGGTGTACATAAAATTAACAAGCTTAAACTGCATGAAGAATAAGAAACCCAAGTACCTCCTCAGTTTAACTGGTAATCTGAGAAATGAGAGAAAAATGTGAGTGACTAGTGATGAGTGCAAAGTGTGAGGGACCTCAGGAAGGAGAAAGAAGTTGCTAATATTTCACTATCACAAATAATGCCCAAGCACCTAAAGGGGTATTAAGAAATAAAAAGGACTTTAAGGAAAGAGCATGGGTAGATGCCCTTTCAGAGTAGAGAACTGAGAGAGGAGGTGTTCTACCTTTTGTTTGTTTTTCTGCTTGCAGTTTTCTTTGTCCGTCTTAGTCCTTTTAGGAGATTCAATCTGTTTGTTGTCCACTGGCTCCTCTGGAAATTGAAAGATCACTTTATTAATGAATTCCATTTGTTGCACCATAAATCTTAGCACTAACTAAATATTAAATACTGTCAGTAACAACAACAGTTCAGAACTTGTGTACTATTGCTATTTATAAGGGCCAGCCACCAGAAAACTTTGCAAGATACTCTGTTGGTTTTTGCTGAATACTTCTTTCTCAAGCCTAAGACCCCACTGATGTGACCATAGAGATCTACTGCAAATTCTAACAACACTTCTATCAAGTTTTAAGTTATTAACAACTCCCATCTACAACAAAGCTTACAAGAAAACCCTGAAGAACTGATACAAACTGAAACCATAGATAAAACTTCAATCAAACAGTAACCCCAAAACAGTCAAAATGGAAGGGCTTTCCCTTCCCTTTTCTTTGTACGTTAAAAAATTGAACTAAAGCATCTGCTTGCTTGCATTATAGCCCTGTTGTGTCTGTATGCTGCAATTAATAGCTAAAAGGCTTTAAAATTGAGAAGTCAAGACTTTCTTCTAAGGAATGAGAGTTCCTTAAAACCATAACCACAAACAGTCTTTGGAGATTCTACAGAAATAAATTTAGTCAAGAAAAAAAAAATTATCTCCAGAACACCTCTGGTGAATGCAGCAGCTGGAACAATCTTCGACGTCTGAGTAAACAAACAAATACATTTTGAATTTTAACTTACCCAATATGGCTGAAAGGTCTTGAGGAAAAATGTCTTTCAGTTCTAAACTTAAGGCATCTTCTCTGAGGGTTGAATTTTGAGGTTGCAACACTTCTGACTCTGCAAAACTCAGGTCCAAGTCATCTAAAGAGTGGCATATTGTCATGGACTTGAGAGTTGCTTGTTTGGCACCAACAGAATGCCCACTTCTACAAGAAAGACCCCCACAAGCTGTACAACAAGACATTGACCTTGAAGAATATGTAGTTGTGGAGGCTAAAACCTTTGATTTCTTCGTTTTCTTGACATCCTTGGGTCTGTAATAAAAAGTACGTAGTCAAATGAAACAAATAGCTGTTAGTAATGGGAACAATCAATTCATGGAAAATGCAAACATTTGAAAAAGGTATATGTATTAATCAAAACATTTTAACAAACATTCAGTTTTTACTTGTAAGCATTGTGGTATTATTAC